CAATGATCATGAGGATGGTGCAGGGCCAGGCAGTGTTAAACGTTCTGCTGTACATAGTGTCGCTGTGGGTCAGAACTGACTCTGTGGCACCTCGCAACAACGACAATCAACACCCATGGAAGCAGCAGTCAAGAAGTCAAACGACATATTGCACTGGGCAAATCTGCTGCAAAAGACCTCTCTAAAAGTGTCAAAAAGCAAAGATACCACCTTAAGAACTAAGGTGTGCCTGACCCAAGCCGTGGTATTTTCGGTTGCCTCATATGTATGTGAAAGCTAGACAGTGAATAAGGAAGACCGAAGAAGAATTGATGCCTTTGAATTATGGTGTTGCGAACAGTATTGGATATACCATGGACTGCCAGAAGAACAAACAATCTGTCTTGAAAGAAAATGCTCCTTAGAGGCAAGGATGGTGAGACTTCATCCTACATACTTTGGGCATGTTATCAGGAGGGACCAGTCCCTGGAGAAGGACGTCACGCTTGGTAAAGCAGAGGGTCAGCCAGAAAGAGGAAGGGACTGACACAATGGCTGCAACAATGGGCTCAAACATAATGATTGTGAGGATGGCACAGGACCAGGCAGTGTTTCTTTCTGTTGTACATAGGGTGGCTGTGAGTTGGAACCTACTGAATGGCACCTAACAACAACAGTCTGCTTTACTTAAGGCCAACCTGTTAAATCACATGTAACTACTTCATAACATGAACTAACCGGGTGATGCAATGGTTAAAGCACTCAGCTGCTAACCAAAAGGTTGGCGGTTTGAACCCACTGGTTCAAAGACCAGGCGATCTGCTCCCGTGAAGATTACAGCCTAGGAAACCCTATGGAGTAGTTCTGCTCTGTCCTATAGGGTCTCTGTGGGTCAGAATCGACTCGATGGCACACAACAGCGACTATTGTTTGGCTAAACTGCTGGGCTCCATAGCCGGACCAAGTTGACACATGACATTGACCATCGCTAAACCAACTAAAACTTCGTGGAAAAATAGAGGACACGAAGGGATAATTTCCTGCAGAAACACAAAGAACCAATGGAGGAAAAAAGAGCTCAAGTTCAGTAGTACAGAGAGATGCAGGTGTCGTTTTTTATCCATTGGGTTGAAAATCTAACAACTCCTGTTAGCCCTCAGCATTGATGAGGTTGGTCCTGAGGTAGTTTCCAGATCACAATTTAGTCAAACACGTTAAGAAGCTTAAAAGGTTTCATGTCCCCTTTGGCTTAGTGGTTTCTCATCCAGGAATCTACTTTTAGGAACTAATAAGACAATCAGAAAGAATCCCTGGGCGGTGCAAATGGCTAAGTGCGTGATTACTGAAAGGTTGGCAGTTTGAACCCATCAGAGAGGTACCTTGGAAGAAAGATCTGGCAGTCTCCTTCTGAAAGGTGACAGCCTTTGAGAACCCTGTGGAGCACAGTTCTACTCTGCACACATGGGGTCGCCTGGAGTCAGAATCAGCTCAACGGCAACTTTTTTTTAATCCAATTAGACAATGGTTATAGCAGTATTTATAATAGCAAAACAAAAAATTGGAAATACTTGCCTACAAAAAAATAGGAGAACCATTAAGTAAGTTATGGTTCATGTGTTAGATGGACTATTTTACAGCCATTCAGTGTTTTCCAAGTTTTTTTTTTTTTTTTGCAATGAGCTTGTACTACATTTTTAATGAGGAGGAAAACCCTAACACTGACAAACGACAGAAACTTGGAACACGTTGTAAGGGAAATATTTGATGCCATGAAAGAATGCTTCCAGGGTAATAAGTGAAAAACAACAGGTTATAAAACAAATTTATCCTAATTATACCCACATAATATTTATTTTTCAAAAATTCCCAAAGGAATTTTTAAACTAATAGTTTAAATTTTCTTCTTTTACGTTTTCGTATTTTTAAATTACTAGGCTATCAACATTTATTTCCTTATGCAGTGGAGCCTGTGAGAGCTGGAACTCAAACGGGACTGCCTTGTGTTTCCGCGTCTCCCGAGTTTCCCGCCTTTGACAGGGTGCAGTCACCACTTTTCTGTCGCTTTTAGTGGAAAATATTTGAGTTTTCCTTCTCTGACCGGTTCCGCCTTACACAGGTTCTGGCTTTCGCAGGTTACTATGTATCTTTTTTTCTGCCCCTTCTTATTGTGTTAATACCCCAAATTTACCGTTTCAACCATTTTAAAATATACAGTTCAGTGGTATTAAGTATGTTCATGATGTGTGCAACCATTGTCACCACTGTCTAGTTCTAGAACTTCTTTCATCACTCCAAATGGAAACCCTATACCCATTACACAGTCACTTCCCCTCTTCCCTTCTCCCGCAATCTCAGACAACCACTAGTCTGCTTTCTGCCCCTGGACATTTCATATAAATGCAGTCATACAATAGGTGGCCGTTTGTGACTGGCTTCTTTCACTTAGCATAATTTTCCAACGTTGATCTACACTGTAGTATCATTGGTACTTCATTCCTCTATACATGTGCTCTTAAGGGGGAAACAAGTGTGCCGATTGCATAGAGGTTTCTTGGAGCTACCCTTCTGAATCTGAGTGGTCAGATTGCTTTACCAAGAGTGGAAACTTAATCGCTCCAATTATGCAGGTGGCCTGGATACTCATCCAAATTAGAGGACGTGTTTCTCCTGTTGAAAGGGATGATGTTGGTTGGCCAGTAGCTTGGGCCATTGGGCCAATGCCTTTGGCAGATCTTCCCGAAAGACTAACTCTTACACGCTTTTGGCATCTTATTTTTAACTCTGACCCTGGATGGCCTATTAATCTGCAAAATGAAAACCTGAAATCAAGCATGTGAGACGGAAAATATCAGTGTCTGCAGCTCAGTTGATGCCCCTGGAACCACCCATCCAACCCTCACAGGATGGGATGGCTCTGCCCTGACACTTAACCATGTCTACAGGGGTATCTTAAAAGCCTCTCTGGGTTTAATTCCTGGTAATTTGCATTTTAATCCCAGTGCCCCCTCCACACCCCCGTGCAGTAGTCTCTGTTTTCAGCCGTTTATCTCCAGCATCATTCTTGAAGATAGCGACCATGTGTCTCCCATTGTCATTACAGGCCATCACGGAAACGCAGGGCCCTTGGTGACGTTGGGAACGTGACAGTGGCTGTGCCTACAGTTCCGGGTCTCCCCAACGTCTCCTCAACGAGCGTGCCCACCAGCCCGGCGGAGCACCGGCCCTCCGAGAAAGTGGTGAACAAGGAGTCGCTGGTCATTTCTGGCCTGCGTCATTTCACTGGCTATCGCATCGAGCTGCAGGCTTGCAACCAAGATGCCCCAGAAGAAAGGTGTAGCGTGGCAGCCTACGTCAGCGCCAGAACTATGCCCGAAGGTGGGTCTGCTTGCCCCGGGTTGGTGCATCAGTGGGCGGGAGACCCAGGGTGACCAAAGGGAAGCCCGCCACGCTCTATCTAGCGTGTGTATGCACTTTAACATACTCAGCTTCCTTAGTTTTTTAATGACGTGAGTCATACGTGGCTGTTTATGTAAACTTTAGAAACTACACACAAGCAATGAGAAGAGTAAAATAAAATGAAAAAATACATATAAGCGGTAAGGAAAATAAAATTTAGTTACCCCTAAATCCCCGTGATAAGCCCCGTTAGCCTCTTGTATGTTCTTCCAGAACTTTCCGTTTGTAAAAACGCAATCATGCTATACAGTTTTTTTTTTTAACTTTTTTTTTTTATTGTACTTTAGATTAAGGTTTAGAGAACAAGTACTTTCTCATTAAACAGTTAGTACACACATTGTTTTATGACAATGGTTTGTAACCCCACAACAAACATATCAGCACTTCCTTTCTCTACCTTGGGTTCCCTATTACCAGCTTTCCTGTCCCCTCCTGCCTTCTAGTCCTTATCCCTGGACTGTTGTGCCCCATTAGTCTCGTTTTGTTTTATGGAGCTGTCTAATCTTTGGCTGACGGGTGAACCTCAGGAGTGACTTCATTACTGAACTAAAAGTGTGTCTGGGGGCCATGCTCTTGGGGTTCCTCCAGTGTCTGCTATACAGTTTTTAACACTGTTTTTCGGGGGGCACATTAAGGCATACTAATAGTTGTAGATAGGCGATTGTTTTAGTTTAAAATCTTTTCTCAATGGACATTTGGGTTGTGTTGCAATATTCAGTTTTAAAAACAACACCAAGATGAATGTCATTGTGCACTTGTCCAATTATTCCCTTTAAATCTATTTGTAGATCTGGAATTGCTTGCTCAAAAGATATGCAGTTAATAGTGTGATGATCTGTTTCTGTCACTTGATCCTCCAGAAGAGCTGCATCCATTTACCTGGGCTAACCAGTAGTTTGAGATAACTGCCTTTCTGAAAGCCAGTTCCTATATATACACAGGTCAATTTCTGGACTGTTTTTTTTTTTTTTTTATTGTGCTTTAGATGAAGGTTTACAGAGCAATTAGTTTCTCATTAAACAATACACATATTGTTTTGTGACATTGGTTGCCAACCCCACGACATGTCAACACTCTCCTCGACCTTGAGTTCTCCGTTCCCATTCATTTCAGATTTCCTTTCCCCTCCTGCCTTCTCGTCCTTGCCCCTGGGCTGGTGTGTCCATATAGTTCCCTATATGTGGTTGAGCTACGTGTATTATTGTTTCTTTTATGGGTCTGTCTAATCTTTGGCTGAAGGGTGAACCTCAGGTGTGACTTCAGTACTGAGTTAGCAGGGTGTCCAGAGGCCATACTCTGTCAGACCAGTAAGTCTGGTCTTTTTTTGTGAGTTTGAATTTTGTTCTACATTTTTCTCCAGCTTTGTCCGGGACCCTCTATTGTCATCCCTGTCAGAGCAGTCAGTGTTGGTAGCCAGGCACCATCTAGTTGTGTTGGACTCAGTCTGGTGGAGGCCATGGTAGTTGAACTCACTCTTTCTTGCCTTCAATGATTTGTCCATCATTTTTGTACTCTGATACCACACTGTTTAAATTATTATCATTTTCCAAATCAAGTTTATTGAGGTATAATTTACATACAATAAAATGAGGTATAATTTACATACAATAAAATGTGCAGATTTTGAACATATAGGAAATTCTGTGGATAATGCGGATTTTAAATAAAGCAGTATGGAGATGGAGAGCTAGACCTGAAAATCTTCTGAGACTGTCCTTATCACAAGATTCCAGTCTTTGTGTCTGTGCTTTCCTCCAACAATAGTAAAAACAGTGATTATTTTTTTGAGCACTTTTTATGTATCATCCACGTTCAGGGTGCTTTTCATATAATAAAACCAAACCAAACCAGCTGCCATCCAGTCAGCCCCAACTCATGGCAACCCTATGTGTGTCAGAGTAGAACTGTGCTCTGTAGGGTTTTCAATGGCTGATTTTTTGGAAGTAGATTGCCAGGCCTTTCTTCTGAGGTGCATCTGGGTAGATTCAAACTGCCAGCCTTTCAGGTAGCAGTCAAGCACATTAACAGTTTGCACCACCCAGGGGCTCCTTTTGTATAATAACCCATTTAAATCCAAATAAGATATCTAGTCTAAGCCTAGTTGTGTACCAATGTCAGTTTCTTGGTTTCAATAATGTACTGTATTTATGTGAGGTGTTATCATTGGGGGAAGCTGAGTGAAGGGTACGCAGAAGTCTCTCTTTTTTTTAATTCAGGTGAAATCCATATGACAAAATTAACTGTTTTAAAGTGAACAATTCAGTGGCATTTTGTACATTCACAGTGTTGTATGACTGTCACCACCATCTAATTCCAGAACAAAAAAAGAAACTTCCTGCCAATTAGATAGTCACTCCCTATTCCCTGCTGCCTTCAAGCCTTAGTCAACCACTAATCTACTTTCTGTCTCTATGAATTTGCCTTTTCTGGACATTGCATATAAGTGGAATCATAGCAATATCTGGCTTTTTATGTTTGGCTTCTTTCACTTAGCATAATGTTTTCAAGGTTCATCCACACAGTATCATGTATCAGTACGTCATTCCATTTTATTACTGAATAACATTCTGCTGTATGGATACACCATCATTTATTTATCCATTCATCCATTGATGGACATTTGGGTTGTCTCTGTACTATTTTTGTACCTTCCTGTGAGTCTAAAATTATTTCAACAGAAAAAGTATAGAAAGAAAACAACACATTTTTATCTTCCCAACAGTCCTGTGAGGTGAGTTTTTTCATGTCCGTTCTGTGTAACCAGCTCAAGGTCAATCTTCTGGTGAGTGGTAGGGCTGAAATTGACCCAGGTGTCGGTCATGTCCCCGCTGCTAACCATTACTCCCTGCTGCTACTTACAGCCAAAGCTGATGACATCGTCGGTCCAGTGACCCACGAAATCTTTGAGAACAACATCGTTCACTTGATGTGGCAGGAGCCAAAGGAACCCAACGGTCTGATTGTGCTGTATGAAGTGAGTTATCGGCGATACGGCGACGAGGTAAGGCTCTTGATTCTTTGAGGCTATCCTTGGTGCTCTCCTTCCCCTACTTAAAACCTGTACCATACGCTCCCAAAGCAGGCTTCTTGTTGGATGCTTTGTCAACAGATTTTCTCTCCCCAGTTTCTTGCATTGCCTTTCAACTCTGTCCTACAAGTTGGATGAGGGCTCCCTGTGTTTTTGTCCCTTCTGATGTGACTGGCTCACTTTACTTTGGAGAGAGTTGTCTGTGTCTGGGAATAAATCACTTGAAGCCCTAATACATGAGCTTTTGTTGGGTGCCTTCCTAGAGAAGGTGCTAGACACCGTGCAGGGTGCTGAGCGAACACAGAGATGAACAAGAGACAGACTCTAATAAGAAGAACAAAAATATGCTCAGCTCTAACAGAAAAGCTGGCAGTTCAAATCCACCCAGAGGCTCTTTGAAAGAAAGCCCTGGTGATCTATTTCCAAAAAATCCGCCACTGAAAACCGTATGGAAGACAGTTCTGCTGTGACACACATGGGATTGCCATTAGTCAGAAATGACTTAATAACAACTGGTTTTTTTTTTTTTTTATTGTTTATTTTTTTGGTTTAAGACATTATAGAGGGTAATGGTGGTTCAGTGGTAGAATTCTTGTCTTCCACGTGGGAGACCTGGGTTTGATTCCCAGCCAGTGCACCTCATGAGCAGCCACCACCTGTCTGTCAGTGGAGGCTTATGTGTTGCTATGATGCTGAACAGGTTTCAGTGGGGCTTCCAGACTAAGATGGACTAGGAAGAAGGGCGTGGCAATCTACTTCTGAAAATCAGCCCACAAAAACCGTATGGATCCCAATGGTCTGAACTGCAACCAATCATGGGGATGCCACAGGACCAGGCAGTGTTTTGATCTGTTGTACTGATCTGTTGTGCGTGGGGTCACCATGAATCAAAGGCTGACTGGAGGGCAGCTGACAACAAGTGACTGTGAAGTGATATGTCATTGTGGATTTGATTTGCATTTTCCTGGAGGCTAATTCTGGGAAATTAGCCTGGGTAGGCAGTCAGGAAGGAGCCCTTGTGGCACAGCAGTTAAGCCCTTAGCTACTAACCTAAAGATTGGTGGTTCAGACCCACCCAGGGGCTCTGTGATCTTGTGATCTGCTCCTGTAAAGATCTACAGCCTAGAAAATCCTATGGGGCAGTTCTGCTCTGTCACATGGGGTTGCTATAAGTCAGAATCGACTCAATGGCACCCAGCAAGAACAAGCAGTGAGGAGCAGCCCTAGAACTGGGGTGGGGTAGGAGAGGAGGAACAGCTACCAGAGCAAGTTCTGGGCTTGTGGGCAGTGAGGAGGGGAATGGACTCTCCAGCAAGCACCACCTGTGTCCACTGCGGACTCTCCTAGATTATTCCTGCTGCCGTGACTAGCTCTTCTTGCTTTGCCTGGGACAAGCCCCATGTCCCAAGAACCCTGCAGTCCTAGATAAACCAGGACAGTTGGTCACCCATTGACATTGGACCTAACCCTAGTCCTAACCCTAGCTCTAACCCTAACCCCAATCCTAACCCCTAACCTAACCCCAACCCCTAACCCCAGCCCCTGACTCTGACCCAGATCCAACCCCAACCCTAACGCCAACCCCAACCCTATCCTTAGCCCTGCTTCTCCCAGCTGCCTACAGCTTACCTAGCCCTCTGGCTCCTAGGGCCCAAGGATCCCCAACAGGAATCCCACTCCAGCCTCTGCCCCACACAGCCCAACCCCAATCCCAGCCAGATGTGCCATATTACCCTTGAGGGAAGCAGAGAAATGGGGGTGACATTCAGGAGCGAGTTGGGGAGATTGCAATGGCCTTTTAGGACACCTTTTCATAGATAAGACTGGACAGTTGCTTCCAGCATTTTCCTTATTGCCTAGCAGGTTTTTTTTTTTTTTTTTTAAACACAATTTATACTGTGGGGATATAATTTCACCAGTTTTCCAAAATTCTCGCCAGTATTTGGTGGAAGGTAATTAAAAAAAATGTTTTTTCGCTATTTCGACAGACAAAATCATCTCTGGCTGTTTTCTTGGCCTTGCTTCTGAGTATCCCCCTCTGTAAACCTGGCATTAAAGTCACTTGTCCTGTCACCATGTCCCCCACCCTGCCCTTGGATGTCCTTGCCCAGGGGAACCCACCCCTTCCCTGGAAGGATCACCACTTTTTGTGAGTTTGTGTCCTTTCCCTCAGTATCTTTCGGAGTTTCGACCCTTTTCTCATACCATAGTTTGTTAATTCATTTATTCATATTTAGTAAGAATTATTGTTGTTGGGTGCTGTTGAGTCAATTTTGACTCATAGCGACCCCGTGTGACACAACTGCCCCGTAGTTTAGCTGTCATCTTTACAGAAACGGATTGCCAAGTCTTTTCTCCTGTAGAGCCGCTGGGTGGGTTCGAACCGCCAACCTTTTGGTTGGCAGCCGAGCGCTTAACCATTGCACTACCAGGGCTCTTTTTAGTATGAGTATGTACATATAAAGGTTCCTGGGTGGTGCAAAACAATTTGCATTTGTCTATTAAGCTAAAGGTTAGTGGTTCAAACACACCCAGCAGTGCTCCAGAAGAAAGCCCTGGCAGTCTGCTTCTGTAAAGATTACAGCCTTGAAAACCCTATGGAGCAATTCTACTCTGTAACACACATTGTTGCCATGAGTCAAAATTGACTTGATGACAACAGGCTTGGGTTTTTTGTTTTGTTTTGTTTTTTGGTGTGTGTGTGTGTGTGTGTGTGTCTGTAAAGGAGCTCTGGTAGTGCAACGGTTAAGCACTTGGCTGCTAACTGAAAGGTTGGTGGTTCAAACCCACCAGTGGCTCCAGAGGAGAAAGACTTCTGTAAAGATTACAGCCAAGATAACCCTGTGGGGCAGTTCTACTCTGTCATGTGGGGTCTCTATGAGCCAAAATCAACTCAGTGGCACCTAATAACAACAACACACATGCATGATATTGGAATCTCATTCAGATGTGATGTGCTGAGAAGAAAAGAACATGTCTTATGTAACATTCTGAACTGGAATGCATAACCTGAATCCCACTGTGAGGAAACAGCATACAGACCCCAAAACAAAACATTCCATTCTTTAAAAATACCAATGTCATATTTGACTAAGAGGAATTTAAAGCATAAAAGTTCTTATAATTTTATTAAGTAAATGTTTATCCTCCAGTACAGATAGGATGGTGACCCCACATGTGCAGGGTAGACCTGCTTCATATGATTTTTCAAGGCTGTGACCTTTCAGAAGCAAATTGCCAGGCTTGTCTTCCCAGGTGCCCCTGGGTGGATTCAAACTGCCAGCCTTTCAACGTGTAGTTGAGCACATGGGATTGCTGAAAGTTAGAATCAACTTGACAGCAACTAACAACAACAACTTAGATAGGATAAAGTTAAATTTTATTTCATCACATTGTGATCAAAGATTCTCTAGAAGAGTACTGATCAAAAGGGGGGAAATGTAGAACAGAATTTAAAGTTTTCATAGACTCCAGACTTTCTGGAGCTATGGGGCTGGCTAAACCCCTGAAACTATTACCCTGAGATAGTCTTTAAAACTTAAACCAAAAATATCCCCTCAAGTCTTCTTAAAACCGAGCAATACTTTAGCTAAACTGGTAAAAAGAAGTGTCTGCCTTGAGCATTATGCTCTTTGAAGAACAATCTATATGGGATCAATTTTAGAACAACAACTCAAAAGATTAGATAGGAACCTTAGGGGGCAGTGAGTTTTTGTTAATGGTGGAGGAACAACTCAGAAAAGGAGGGTGAGAATGGTTGCACAACTCAAAGAATATAATCAATATCACTGAATTGTAAATGTAGAACTGGTTGAATTGGTGTCTGTTTTGCTGTGTATATTCTTGACAACAACAACAAAATAAATTTTTTTAAAGAAGCAAACTAAATTTTAATTCATCACTGTTCACATTAAAGAAGGTGGATTTATAAAGTATGAATTTTTAAAATTTTATCAAACCAAATGTTTCACGATAGTATGTTGTAACAAATCAAACCTACTTAGATTACAGGAAAAAAGATTTAAAAAAAAAAAAAGGAAAGCACATTGGAAACCTAAAACTAGTTTCTTCTTTTTTCCTTAAACCCGTTATGTAATAACTCCCTTTTCTTTTCCTCCTCCCCCCAGCTTCTTGTGACTGTGACTCTACTTTGGTGTTTGTAAACCAAAAACCCACTGCCATCGAGTCAATTCCAACTTACAGCGACCCTAGAGGACAGAATAGAACTGCCCTGTAGGGTTTCTAAGGAGCGGCTTGGTGGATTTGAACTGCTGACGTTTTGGTTGGCAGCTGAGCTCTTAACCCCTGGGTCACCAGGGCTCTGTATACATTCTAGATACTTCATCTAAGTTGGATCATACAGTATTTGTCCAAACTAACATAGTGTTTTCCAGGTTCACCCATGTCATAGCATGTATCACCACTCCATATTTTTTTCGCACATTTGCACAAACTTTTGTGATTGGCATCTTCACCTTTGATCGGGGTTTGATTCTTGTTTGGTTTTTGTGTTTTGGTGTCTACTGAGAGCGCTTCATCAGGTTCTAGCTCCTTCCATCAGGGTCCCTTCCTGGTCCCCACCCTTGAGCTGCATTTTCCCTTTGTCCCGGATAGCAGCTACCTTTGGTTTCTCTGTTTGCTTATTTGTCCCACTCTGCTTGGTGACTCATCTGACTTGGAAGAACCTTTGGACTGGAGTCCCTTCCACCCCCACCCCCCACCGCCAGCCAGTTTGTTTTCTAGCTGTTATTGTCACATGGTGAGCTTGGAAGCTTTTACATTTCTTTCTCTCCCCCCACCCCGCCTCCCCTAAAATTTTCCAGCCCAGTTCACCGCAGGCACTATTAGCCTGGAACTGTTTCAGAAAGTTTTCAGAGTTTTGGCCTGATGCTTGCAGGTTTTGCCCTTTTCTTTTCCAGCTAGGCTCGTGCCTCTCCTGATAAGCTCTGGGCTTATCTCTGGTTCCATGTTTATCACGGGGGTGTGCTTCACTTCATTTCTCTCTTCTCCCCTTGCCAGTCTTGAAGGTAGATCCCCACTCTTTTTTTTTTTTTTTTTAATCGTGGTAGAATATATATAACAAAAAAACAGCCATTCTGGCCATTTTTTAATTTTATTTTTTATTTTTTTAATTGGACTGTGCTTTAGGTGAAAGTTTACAGCGCAAATTCGTTTCTCATTCAAGAATTTATACACAGATTGTTTTCTGACATTGGTTGCAATCCCCACAATGGGTCAACACTCTCCCCCTTTCCACCCCAGGTTCCCCGTGTCCATTCGTCCAGTTTTCCTGTCCCTTCTGCCTTCTCGTCTTTGCTTTGGGGCAGGTGTTGCCCATTTGGTCTCATATACTTGATTGAACTAAGAAGCACGTTCCTCACGTGTGTTATTGCTTGTTTTATAGGCCTGTCTAATCTTTAGTTGAGAGGTAGACTTTGGGAATGGCTTCCATTCTGAGTTAGCAGGTGCCTAGGGGCCATAGTCTCAGGGGTTCCTCCAGTCTCTGTTGGACCAGTAAGTCTGGTCTTTTTTTTCTTTTTTTTTTTGTGAATTTGAATTTTGTTCTAAATTTTTTTCTCGCTCTGTCTGGAATCCTCTGTTGTGATCCCTATCAGAGCGGTCAGTGATGGTAGCCGGGCACCATCTAGTTCTTCTGGGCTCAGACTGTGGAGGCTGTGGTTCATGTGGTCCTTTAGTCCTTTGGGCTAATATTTCCCTCATGTCTTTGGTTTTCTTTGTTTCTCCTTTGCTAACCATCTTTAAGTGTACAATCGAATGACATTAATTACAGTCACCATGTTGTGCAACCGTCACCACTGTCTCTTTCCAAAAGTTTTTCATCTCCCCAAACAGAAACTCAGTACCCTTTATAATTTCCCCCTTCTCTTCTTCCCCAGCCACTGGAAACCACTAATAAATTTTCTGTCTCTACACATTTGCCTATTCTAGATATTTCATATAACTGGGCACTTTTGTCCTTTTGTGTTTGTCTTACTTCATCCAGCATAATGTTTTAAAGATTCATTCATGTTGTGGCATGTATCAGGACTTCACTTCTCTTTATGACTGGGTAATATTTCATTGTATGTAAAGGCCACATTTTGCTTATTTATTTATCTGTTGATGGATACTTGGGTTGTTTTCACCTTTTGGCTGTTGTGAATAGTGCTGCAGTGAACATTGGTGTATAAAAAAATCCATTGCCATCAAGTCCGTTCTGACTCATAGTGACCCTATAGGACAGAATAGAACTGCCCCATGGGGTTTCCAAGGCGCGGCTGGTGGATTCGAGCTGCTGACCTTTTGGTTAGTAGCCGAGCTCTTAAACACTGTGCCACCAGGGCTCCCGTTAGTGTATACGTAGATCCTAATGATAATTAAAAAAAGAAAAAAGAAACTCAAAAGGCAGGACCATGGGAAGGAAAACCCAAACCAAACCAGTTGCTGTCAAGTTGATTCCAACTCATGGTGGATCCACATGTGTCAGAGTAGAACTGCGCTCCATGGCGTTTTTTTTTTTTTTTTTTAATAGTATTTTATTGTGTTTTCAGTAAAAGTTTACATAGCAAATTAGGTTCCGGTTTACCAATTACTACACAAATTGTTCAGTGACATTGGTTACAATTTTCACAATGTGTCAACATTATCTTTAGTTCCATTCTGGAATTCTGTTTCTAGTAATCTGGTTTCCCCGTCCCCTTACCCTTTCATCTTTGCTTTAGAGTCATTGTTGACCATTTGGTCTCATACAGATGATTTTTTAAAGGTGCACAGCATACATGGGTACTCTTGATTATTTTATGAGCCAATCTGTTATGTAGCTAAAAGGTGACCTCAGGGAGTAGTTTTGGTTCAAGGTTTGTGGAGTATCTCAGGGAGTCCTTAGAGAGTCCTCTAGTCTCAACCAGTCCAATAAGTCAGGACTTTTTAAGAATTTGAGTTCTGTTCCACATTTTTCTCCCATTCTATCAGGGTCCATCTACTGTGGCCCTGATCAGAATGGTCAGTAGTGGTAGCTGGGCACCATCTAGTTCTTGCTGGTCTCAGGGTAGATGAGATGGTTCTTTATTCCATAGGGTTTTCAATGGCTGGTTTTTCAGAAGTAGCTCTCTAGGCATTTCTTCCAAGGCACCTCTGGGTAAATTTGAACCACCAACCATTCAGTTAGTGGTCGAGCACGTAACTGTTTGCATCACACAGGGATTCCTGTGGGAAGGAAGGAGCTTTTTATTTGTCCTTACGCATCAAGCTCATTGAACCGTTTGGTTTTGATGAAGAGACCTTAAGGGTCCCCTCTTTCCCATCTGTCTCTGACTTGCTGGAGGCCGGGTGATAATATCCCACTGTGTCTTCAAGGAGAAAGCTTTGCAGCCAAAAGATTCTGGGTATGAGGGCTGACTCTACCACTGAACCAGCCTGGAGATTTCAGGCAAATTGTTTAATCTTCTAAATTAGGGGTCAGCAAACCACGGCCCTTGGGCCACATCTGTCCCACCACCTGTTTTGTACAGCCTATGAGCTGAGAATCATTTTTACATTTTAAAATGGTTGAAAAAAACAAAAAAAAAAAAAAGGAGAACAGTATTTCATGACATGTGAGAATTATATGAAATTCAAATTTCAGTGTCCGTAAAGTTTTATTGACACGCAGCACAACCATTCGTTTACAGATATTGCATCTTATCTATGGCTGCTTTCACACTGCAGTGGCAGAGTTGAGTAGTTTTGACAGTGACCGTCTGGCCCAGTAAGCTGAAAATATTTGTCTCTGACCCTTTACAGAAATAGTTTGCCAGTCTCTGTCTTAAGCCATGGTTTTGTCATCTTTAATATGAAGATAGGAGTGTCTGGGTGATGCAAACGGTTAAGTGCTTGGCCACCCAGAGGCACCTCGGAAGAAAGGCCTGCCGATCTACTTCGGAAAGATCACAGCCATTGAAAACACTATGGAGTGCAGCTTCAACTTGACAGCAACTGTTTTTTTTGTTTTTGTTGTTTCGTTTTGTTTATTGTAAGGATAGAGGGCAGTGGTGACTCAGTGGTAGATTTCTCACCTTCCATGCAGAGGACCTGGGTTCAATTCCCAGCCAATGCACCTCATGTGCAGCTACCACCTGTCTGTCAGTGGAGGCTGGCGTGTTGCTAGGATGCTGAACAGGTTTCAGTGCAGCTTCCAGACTAAGACGGACTAGGAAGAAAGGTCTGGTGATCAACTTCTGAAAATCAGCCAGTAAAAACCCCATGGATCACAACAGTCTGATCCACAACCAATCACGGAGATGGTGCAGGACTGGGCAGCCTTTCGTTCTGTTGCGCGTGGGGTTGCTGTGAGTCAGGGCTGACTCAGTGGCAGCTAACAGCAACAACAACAACGTGAGGATAATAGTACCTAAGCCACAGGGTTTCTGTAAGAATTAAATGAACTGACCTAGGCCAAGAGCTCAGCTCCTGGCTCCAGAAGTTTGGCTCTTAGTACTAATGGAACCCTTGGGTTGGTTTCCTTATCCGCAGAGCTGTGGTTCTCTTACCCCGTGGCGTCATCCCTGAGTGGGGTCCCACCTGTGAAGGCCCTGCCTGGAAGGGACGTTCCCCAGTGTGCACAGCACAGCCAGCCTCCTTATACCCTCCCCAACCTTGTTTTCCAGGAGCTGCACCTCTGTGTCTCAAGAAGGCATTTTGCCCAGGAGCGGGGCTGCCGGCTGCGAGGGCTGCCCCCAGGCAACTACAGTGTGCGTGTGCGGGCCACCTCCCTGGCGGGCAACGGCTCCTGGACTGAGGCCACCCATTTCTACGTGACAGACTACTGTAAGTCCCCATGGCAACTTGGGTCGGTGGGGTCTGTGTTTGGCCCCGAAACGGGTCGGGGTAGCTTGGAGACTACGAATACTGGCCCAGGCCTTGGCCCTGGGGTCCACTGGTCATTGCTGTGTGACCAGGGCAAGGTACTTGCCCTCTCTGAGCCTGCATCCCCGTCTGTCCATGGGGGTAATAACAGGACCCGCCCCAGAAGGCTGGATGGAGGTTTCAATGAAATCATGAATATCACGTGGAACTTGACATTGAAACGGTTTCAGGAAGTTTTCAGAGCCGGCACCAGGCAACTGAATCAACACGTTAGCTCCTGTTACTAGTATATCCATCTTGGTTATGAGATGGGCCTTCCCCTTCAAGATGTCCACCCCTTCAAGCCTTGGGCAGAGCGGAACCTCCCTAGCAGGAAGTGTTCCCGGCATGCCAGCAGCAAGTTTTGATGATGGGTGAGCCGGCCGCACTGGGCCCAGTGAGACTGGGAGAGGTGGGGAAGGCTGAGCTAGTCAAGCAGGGCTTCCTGGAGGCAGTGACATCTCAGTGGCGACCTAGAGAATGAGTGAAGGAGTGGGGCCGTGAGGGAGACCGTCAGCCCAGCACTCAGTAGCAACCCAGGCACTTGAATGAGTGAACACACAAATGACTTGGCAGGGGTGAAGACTGCAGACCCAGCAGAGCAGGAGCCAGGGTGTGAGGGCTGAGGCGGGACTTTCCTGTGCTGGGGGCTATGGGAGAGCAGACAGCGGGAAATGAGGCTTGCAGGGGTGGTTCTGATCAGGTCAGAACTGGGGCCAGACGAGCAAGAGACCCAGGGTACCAAAAGGAAGGAAGTGCTCACCCTTGGGGAGGGGCCACTCCTGCTCTTGGCAGGACCCGCAGTGGGAGATCCTCTTCCAGCTTAGCACCCTGGATGCCTCACCTGCCTCACCCTGGCTTGGATGGCGGCTGGAATCTGAGGAGTGGGCGGGACTGTGGGGTCTGTGAAGCAGAGAAGAGGGACAGCAAGTCTCAGATTTTGGCCCTCATGCCCCCAGCTTTTGAGACCACCTGGTACAAGCCTCTGAAATCACCCTGCCCCTAGGAAAGGAAGTGGGGACAAGGGAGGGGCCCACAAGCAGAGCACGTGACTGGATGGTTTCAGTTTCTCTTGTCTATTCAGTCTGCTTATGGAGCCATTCTGTGTGCCAGGAGCTGTCTGGGATGGAATGAGGCAGTTTGCTGTCAGTTCAGAAGGGGAGGATTCCTCAGGACAGTGCCCTCTGTGGAAGGCAGTGTGGGGCAGTAGTCAGCGCTCACTCAGCTGGCCCTGGTTCAAATCCCTGCTCTGCCCTTGAGCAGCTCTGTGACCTTGGCCAAGACCCTTCCCCTCTCTGAAGCTTCTGTTTCCCAGTCTGTAAACTGGGATTCCTCAGAGTACCTCCCTCCTTGGTTTAAACCAAAAAACCAAACCAGCTGCCCTCATGTGGGTTCCAACTCATGGCAACCCTATGTGTGCAGAGTAGAACTGCTTCGTAGGGTTTTCAAGGCTGTGTGACCTTTCAGAAGCAGATCACCAGGCCTTTCTTTGTAGGTGCCTCTGGATGAGTTCAAACCACCAGCCTTTTGGTTAGTAGTTGAGCGCTTAACCACTTACAACACCCAGGGACGTCGTCCTTGGCTTATGTGACGATTAAATAAGGTCACTGTGTAAAGCACTTGGAACAGTGCCTGGCACTTGGTAAGCATTCATTCAGTAAACTGTTATTTTAAAGACCCAAAAGGACCAAGTTCACTCCTCAAGTCTTCCTTGGCTTTGAAGAGTCTGAGCACATGGGCATGTCTGTATTTACAGACAGTTCAGCCCTGCACGTAAATTTAAAAAATTAAGAAGCTGCTTGATGTTATTCAGCTGCTATAAAAGGTGTTCTATGGGAAACGCACTTCTCTCTGTGTAGTCTGGTGCTCCTCCTGGCAACCAGGCTGCCCGTGAAGCTGTGGGTTTGCAAAATATTTTTTTAATAGAGGTGAAATTCACAGAACATGAAAGCACCCGTTTGAAAGTGAGCAGGCAGTCCAGTGGCATTTAGTACCTTCACAACAGTGTGCAGCTGCCACCTCGGTCTAGTTCCCCACGACACTTTCATCACCCTACAATCAAACCGGAGTCCCTGGGTGGTGCAGACAGTTCATGCACTTGGCTGCTAACCAAAAACGTTGACAGTTCGAGTCCACCCAAAGGCACCTTGGAAGAAAGGCCTGGCAGTCTACTTCCAAAAAATCAGCCGTTGAAAACCCCGTGGAACACAGTTCTACTCTGACACATATGGGGGTCACCAGGAGTCAGAATCAACTCCATGGCAACTGGAGGGTTTTTTTTTTTTTTTTTAATTAAACCTAGTAACCATTAAGCCAAGGTCCGTGGGTGGTGCAAATGATTTGCGCTTAGCTACTAATTGGAAGGTTGGCGGTTGGAACCCACCCAGTGGTGCCACGGGAGAAGGTCCTGGTGATCTGCTTCCATAAAGATTACAGCCAGGAAAACCCAACGGAGCTCAGTTCTACTCTGTAACACATGGGGCCACCGTGAGTCGGAATGGATTCAGCTGGCAGCAGGTCTGGTTTTGGTTTACCCATTAAACGGTCACTCCCCATTCCCCCTTTGCCCCAGTCCCTGGCAACCACCCATGTGCTTTCTGTCTTTTACTCTGGACATTTCATATAAATGCAATCATGTGGCCTTTTGTGTCTGGAACAAAGCTGTTAATGGGCCGGTTGCCCAGTGAGAAGGACTTCCTGGCACCCACAGGGCACTTACTGGGAAATTGTTCCCCTGACGGGGTGGGGTGGGATCACGACCAGCTACAGAATTTGCAGGGCCTAGCACAGAAGGAAATCATGGGGCTCCTTGTTCAAAAAGTATTAAAAATTTCCAGGCAGCAGCAGTGAAGGGCTAAGCTGAGCAAGGGGTCCTGTGTGACTGTCCAGGTCACCTTCCCGTAAGACGGGCCCTGGAGGTGCAAGGAGAAGGCTGGTGATGGGCCGTGGTCTGGCAGGGGTGTGCTCCTCTGAAACACAGACCTCCCAGCCTGCCAACCAGCCCCAGTGAGCCGTTTCAGCATTGCTGGAAAATAAAGGTCTGGGAGACCAGCAGACAGAGGCCCAGGGGCAAGAGAGGAGGGACAAGCGTAACCCGCCATTACAGACGTCAAGACACTTTGACGCTGGAGATTCCTAGAGTGAACACACTGAAGTGAAACCTTTATTTTCTTACTCTGTTTCAGTGGATGTCCCATCAAATATTGCAAAAATCATCATTGGCCCCCTCATCTTTGTTTTTCTCATCAGCGTTGTGATTGGGAGTATTTACCTGTTCCTGAGAAAGAGGTGAGTGCAGCGACTCTGGGGAAAACAGATGCCCAGGCGGGAGAAAGATCTGTTTCGACAAAAATTACAGCCCAGGAAAGCCTATGGGGCAGTTCTGCTCTGTTATATGGAGTTGCTATGAGCCACAGTCGACTCGATGGCACTCGACAACAACAGATATAGATAGGTGTGCCTGGGTGGTGTAAATGGTTAACGCCAACTTGGCTGCTAACCAAAAGGTTGGAGGTTCAAGTTCACCCAGAGGCACCTCAGAAGAAAGGCCTGGCAACCTGGTTCTGAAAAACCAGCCATTGAAAACCTTATGGTGCACAGTTCTACTCTGACATAGATGGGTTCACAAGGAGTCAGAATCGACTTGGCAGCAACTGAAAAAAAAACAAAGAGCAACATCTAAAAAGCCGCTCGTCCAGCAGAGTTGTGGAGGCGGCTGGCAGAAGCTCACGAGAAACGACTGTTAAATTTTCAGGAAGTTAGTGAGCCAGTTGTTAAGTATGACCATTGTTAAAATTAAATAATAAGTGTGCCTTTGCCTGGTGGTGCAGCGGTTAAGAGCTTGGCTGCTAACCAAAACGTTGGCAGTTCGAATCTGCTAGCTGCTCCTTGGGAACTCTATAGGGCAATTCTGCTCTGTCCTGTAGGGTTGCTGTAAGTCAGAGTCGACTCAACGGCAGTGGGTTTGGTTTTTTCGGTTTAATAAATACTAAGAACTCATCAATTCCTAACTGTTACAAAAATTGTTACAAAAAACCACCGCAGCTGTGGAGTCAATTCCAACTCATGTGTCAGAGCAGAGCTGTGCTCCACAGGGTTTTCAGTGGCTGATTGTTCGGAAGTAGATCGTCAGGCCCTTCTCCTGAGGCACTTCTGGTTGGACTCCAGCCTCCAACCTTTTTGAGTTAGCAGCTGAGCATGTTAACCATTTGCACTACCCAGGGATGAACGGTCCCTGGGGTGAACAGTCCTATGTTGATGCACCAAGGTGGCTGTCTGATGGGTTTCCACTCAGAACACGAGTCCCCACCCCAGGCTCTATCCAGGCTGCTGATAAGGGTCTCTGTTTGCTCTGGGGCAGAGTTCCTGGGTTGGGCAAACAGTTAAGCACTGAACTACTGAACCCACCCAGAGGTGCCTTGGAAGAAAGGCCTGGCGATCCACTTTCAAAGGGTCATAGCCTTGAAAATCCTGTGGAGCACGTTTCTACTCCGCACACATTGGGTTGGGATGAGTCGGAATTAACTCTGACAACTGTTTTGAATTTTTGGTTTTTGCTTTGGGGAGGCTTGTAAACTCCTCCGGAGTTCCCTGGGACTCTTAAGCAGATCTGCTTTCGTTTTTCTTATCCAGGCATCCGGACGGGCCGCTGGGACCGCTGTATGCTTCTTCAAACCCTGAGTACCTTAGCGCCAGCGACGGTGAGTATCATCCCCTCCCCTGCTGTCCAGTGCCATCACCATCCAGTGAGTATCGTGCAGTTGCAGTTGGCTGGCTTATAAGCCAGGGCTGGGTGGTCTCGGATGGCCTCACTCACATGCCTGGCAGCTGGCAGGCTGGGAGGCCTCAGCTGAGGCCATGTGGTCAGCCTCCAGCAGGCTAGCTGGGACATCTTTGCTTGGTATTCTGGTGGTTCCCAGCAGCAAGAGACGCCAAGCCCTAGGGCAAAAGCCCTTTTCAAGCCTCTCTTGGGTCTATTTCACTAATGCCTATGGACCAAAGCAGGTCAGATGGCCAGGCCCAGATCCAGGGGGTGGGGGAATAGACTCCCCCAGTGGGCGGGGCTGCCAAATATTGTGGCCTTTGTTTCAACCTACGAGCACTTTGCAGAAACCACAGCCTCTTATGAGAAGTTGCATCATTCCGTAGCAGGGGTTCTAAAATCAGACAGAAAAAATGGGCATACAGGCTCAGCTCGGCCCTTCTTGGCCAGGACCCTGGATCAGTTAGGGCTCCTTCCTGAGCCTCTTCTGTCCTCTCCACAAGGGCAGGTCCTGGATCATAGAAGTCACCTCCGGAGCATTTGCAGAGACTCCGACTCGGGTCAGGGTGGCCAGGGCACGGCAGTGGGGTGGGGGGAGGGTATCCCCAGGGACCTGCCAAGGGTGCTTTCTAGATGAATGAGGAGTAGTGTTTCCCTGCTCTGTGTACGTGCCTGACGAATGGGAGGTGCCCCGCGAGAAGATCACCCTCCTGCGAGAGCTGGGCCAGGGCTCCTTCGGCATGGTGTACGAGGGCAATGCCAGGGACATCGTCAAGGGCGAGGCGGAGACCCGTGTGGCAGTGAAGACGGTTAACGAGTCGGCCAGCCTGCGCGAGCGGATCGAGTTCCTCAACGAGGCCTCTGTCATGAAGGGTTTCACCTGCCACCACGTGGTGAGTCCAGCATTCGCCCTGAGATCCAGCAGAGGTTTCAGTCCACACCTCCCCTGCTCTCACCCGCTTCCTCAGGGTACACTGAATGTGGACCCCTTACCCATCCCTGCGACCCCCTCGAAGCATCATCACAGGCCATTCTCCAATTCCAGCCCCTCCCACTTTGCCAGAAATCAGACTCTTATCGTTGTTCTTTGATGCTGTTCGGTTGGTCCCAACTCATGGCGAGCCAGACCATTGTGAGCCATAGGGTTTTCATTCGCTGATTTTTGGAAGTTAATCGCCAGACCTTTCTTCCTAGTCTGTCTTAGTCTGGGAGCTTGGCTGAAACCTGTTCAGCATCACAGCAACATGCAAGCCTCCACTGACAGATGGGTGGTGGCTGCACATGAGGTGCTTTGGCTAGGAATTGAACCTGTATCTCCCAAACCAGACAACATTTATATTATATATAGATCTGTGTCTATGTCTGTATATAGAGCCCTGGTGGCGCGCTGGTTAAGAGCTTGGCTTCTAACCAAAATGTCAGCAGTTTGAATCCACCAGCTGCTCCTTAGAAACCCTATGGGGCAATTCTACTATATATACACCTCTTCCTCACTTATTGACTGTCTTGTTGTCTGACATTTCACATTTACGACAGTAGTAAAAAATCTACTGTCCGACTATTTTGTGCACTAATGACGTACATCTGGCAGTAACGAATGTGGAGGTGTGAGGCGAGAGTAATGCTGGTTGTGATGGTTTAAGGTTATGTGTCAGCTTGGCTGGGCCATGATTCCCAGTGGTTTGGCAGTTAGGTAATTTGGCAGTTACGTAATGATGTAATTTGGCAGTTATGTAATGATGTGGTCATCCTCCATTTTCACATAACACCAATTTCACATAACGACCTGGTTTTTCAAACCTAACCATGTCGATAAGTGAGGAGAGGGTGTGTATATATATATATAGAAGAGAGAGAGAGCCCTGGTGGTGTAATGGTTAAGCGCTCAGCTGTCAACTGAAAAGTTGTCAGTTCAAACCCACCAGCAGCTCTTTGGGAGGAAAGACCTGGCGATCTGCTCCTGTAAAGATTACAGCCTAGGAAACCCTATGGGGCTGTTCTACTCTGTCATACAGGGCCGCTGTGAGTCAAGAGTTGATAGCACACAGCAACACACATGTACCCACACACACACACACATACACATATATACACATGCATTTTTCATAGGTTATTACACATCAAATGTATTATTGTAATAAAATACTATTGTATGTTATAAAATTGTTACAATAAAAGTATTATTATAATAAGACACATATAAATAAAACATTAATGGATAGAAAAAGAAAAACTGTCCAATAGCAAGATAAGCAAGGAGTATGAATGGCAATTCACGGAGAAGACACAAAAAAGGAAAAGAATGAAAAGAACCCCATGGTTGCTTCGCAGGTCCGCCTCCTGGGGGTGGTGTCCAAAGGTCAGCCGACGCTGGTGGTGATGGAGCTCATGGCTCACGGGGACCTGAAGAGCTACCTCCGTTCGCTGCGGCCAGAGGCTGAGGTGAGCTGCCTCTGAGGTACCTGGCTGGGCACCTGCTCCTGGCCCAGGGCATGCATGTCACTGAATATGACCCCGTGTTTCAACTTCAGAACAATCCTGGCCGCCCTCCCCCCACCCTGCAAGAGATGATCCAGATGGCAGCAGAGATTGCGGACGGGATGGCGTACTTGAACGCCAAGAAGTTTGTGCACCGGGACCTCGCAGCTCGAAACTGCATGGTGGCCCACGATTTCACCGTCAAAATTGGAGGTTTGTTTGCTTTCTGCTTGGAAATGTCTGAGGAAGTCCAAGTTTGATTTCAGAAGGACTTTTCTGTCATGGAGTCGCTAAATTCTTTCCAAAAACAAAAGGGGCAGGATGATGGATGAGGGTTCAGTCTTCAAACTGTAATTTAATTGCATTCATTCATTAACTCACTCATTCACTTCTTCAAAAAATATCTATTGTGTGCCTTCTCTGTGTGAGACACTACAGTAGGTGCTAAAGATCCAACAATGAGTAAGTCCCCACGTTCTTGCCCTCATAGGAACATAGCGTAGTCAGTCTATCTACGTTGTCCAAAACAATAGCCAACATGTGGCCATTAAAATCAATTAAAATTAAGTAAATTAAACATTTGGTTACTCAGTCACACTGGCCACATTGCAAGAGCTCAAGACCCACATGTGGTTGGTGTCTACCATATTGGACAGAGCAGATAAAGACCATGCCCATCATCACGAAACGTTCCATTGGATCACGCTGTTCTAGGTGGACAATAAAACAGTTAGCAATTATGTAGACAAGATCATTAAGACTAGGGAAAGAGCCCTGAGGGAAATCAAGAGTTCTGTGATGGAGAAAACCCAGGGGGTACTGGTGGCTTAGGAAACCCCTCTATATGGAGGTGACATTTTAGTCAAGACATGCAGAATGAGAAGAAGCTGGCCTGGGTGATTGTGTGCCCGGTGGTGGGCACAGCACATGCAGAGGCTGGGAGGCTGGAAAGAAGGCTGATGTGATTTGAATAAGATGAACGTAGAGGGGACCAGAGCAGCATGAGATACGAGGTTAAGGAGAGGCAGGAACTGGACCCAGAAGGATCTTGCAAGTCATGTAAAGTCGTTTAGACGTTATCCTACTTAGCCAATGAGAAGCGGGAAGTGATGTGATCCTATTTATGATCCCAAAGGCATTATCCTACTTACCCAATGGGGAGCAAGAAGTGATGTGATCCTGTTTATGATCCCAAAAGACATTTTCCTACATAAGCATGGGAAGCAAGAAGCAATGTGATTCTACTTATGATTACAAAAGAAATTTCCTGCATAGTCAGTGGGAAGCAGGAAGCGACATGATCCTGTTTATGGTAGCTTGTCTTGGACAATGCGCTGTCAGAGGGTTGTGGTGGTGTGAGGGTCCTGCAGGTGAGAGATGGTGGAGGAGCCTGGGTGGGATCAGGGCGATGGAGAGGAGTGGATGGATTAGAGAAAGATGCAGAGAGAAAGTGGACAGGACTCGCTGTTGCCTTGGATGTGGGGTAGGATGAGGGAAGGGCATGGTCAGAGGAGGAGTTCTGGCTGGGCAGCTGGTGCTTGGTGGGTTCTATCCAATGGGAGTGGTAGGTTTGCCGGAGAAAGTCAAGAGATCGGTTTGGGATGCCTGCGAGTTCGTGGTGGGAAGGAAGTGTTGCTGAGAGTGGGATTTTGAGCTGCAGGCCAGGACGTTGCTCTTTTTCACTTGGCAGTTCTTCTTCCACCCCGTCAGTGGTGGCCCATGCTCTCTTCACATCCCCATGAATACCCTCAGAGTCCGTTCTCACTGGGATTTGTCGTCCATACATGTGGGACACACTGGGGACAGGGGAACCCACCTAAGGGCTCTGTAAGGGGTGGGGCAGCAAGATGATGGACTCCTGGGCGGCAGGCTGAGCATTAAGAGCGCGTGAACTATGTGTTGTCAGACTTCGGAATGACCAGAGACATCTATGAAACGGATTACTACCGGAAAGGGGGGAAGGGCCTGCTCCCCGTGCGGTGGATGGCCCCAGAATCGCTGAAGGACGGCGTCTTTACCACGTCTTCTGACATGTGGTGAGTGGTGCGTGGACTGGCAGACAGAATGCCAGGTTTGAATTCTGGGTGTCCCACTAGCATGACCTACAAGAGGGGGTGATCAAAGGATGCCTTTCTCACGGCCTCTTCCCTGCTGCACCTCCATTTCTCCATCCAGAAAATGAGGACCAAGTCCTGGCTGAGGACCCAGGTGACCTTAGTTTCCGAGTGAGGCTTATCTTGCAGGCCTTTGTACACTACTGCATGAATTGTTTGACTAATCAGCTGACCCAGATTCTTGGTAAACAGAGAAGGGGTGTGTGTATGTGTGTGAGTGTGAGTGTGTGTGTGTGTGTGAGTGGATGTGTGTATGGATGTACGTGTGTTTGAGTGATGGAGTGTGAATGTGTGTGTGGTGTGTGTGTATGTGTATATATACGTGTATACATGTGTATATATGGGTGTGCATGTGTATCAGTAACAGTGTGAATAGGTGTGTGTGTGTATAAGTGGATAGGTGTATATATGCATGTGTATACATGTGTGTGCATGGGTGTGTGCATATATGTGTGCATGGGTGCATGTGTGTACATGTGCATGAGTGAGTAAATGTGTGTGTGAGTGGATAGGTGTATATGTGCATGTACGTGTGTGTGTACAGGTGTGTGTGGGTATATGGGTATATAGGTGTGCTTGTGTGTGTGTACATGTGTATGAATGTGTGCATGTGGGTACATATGTGTATATAAACACGTATATATGCATATGTATGTATGTATGTATGTCATTGTGAATCAGAATCGATGACAACGGGTATGTGTGTATATGTGTGTGCCTGTGTGCGTGGGTACATTGTATGGGTGCATTTGAATGGCTTCTGTGTCACTACTCTCACCTGTCATTCACAGGTCCTTTGGCGTGGTCCTTTGGGAAATCACCAGCTTGGCGGAGCAGCCTTACCAAGGCCTGTCTAACGAGCAGGTGTTGAAATTTGTCATGGATGGAGGGTATCTGGATCAACCCGACAACTGTCCAGAGAGAGTGTGAGTACAGAAAGGGTGTGAAATGTGCAGGGTTTTCGTGGAAGAGACATTGCTCTTTACACAATGCCTGTATTTCTATAGCCTATCTGTACGTGTGTGCTTGTATTTGTATATCCTGTCTTTATATGCATGGCTGTATTTGCATAGCCTATGTTTACATGCCTGCTGTATTTTTATATCGTATCTATACCTGCATGCCTGTATTTGTATAGCCTGTCTTTACACATATGCCTATATTTTTGTTTCATCTCTTTATGCATGCTTGTATTTGCATATCACGTCTTTACATGTATGTGCATCTGTATGCCCTGTCTCTTCATGCATGTTTGTGTTTACATATCCTGTCTTTACACGTGGAGCCCTGGTGGTGCAGTGGCTAAGAGCTCGGCTGCTAACCAAAATGTCGGTACTTCGAATCACTCAGCCGCTCCTTGGAAACCCTCTGGGGCAGTTCTTCTCTGTCCTTAGGGCTGCTCTGAGTCAGAATCGACTCAATGGCAATGGGTATCTTTACATGTGTGCTCATATTTGCATATCATGTCTTGAAATGTATATGCTTGAGTATCCTGTGCACACATTGGCGTATCCTGCCTTTACTTGCATGCCTTATTTGCATACCCTATCTTTATGGGAATGCTTGTATGTGCATATCATATCTTTGGGAAGTTATATAAGAAACCTGTAATAGTGGTTGCCTCAGGAGAAGGGAGCTGGGGTGGGAGAGAAGCTTATGTTGAACCGTGTACTCCTATACACTGCAAATTTTGTAAAGCGTATGCGTATGTATTCCAAAATTTTATTTTGTTTTAAATCTTTGCTAAAGGACCAAATGGGCAACAGACACATGCACACACCATTAAACACTGGGAAAATTGACCAGCCTCACTAATAATCCAATAAATATAAAGTAAAATAAAAGAAGGCCTATCCTTCTAAATTAGCAAAATTAGCAAAAAGAAAGAAAAAAATTTAAGATATTCTTCAGTGCTATAGTGCTAGCCAAAATTTGGCTAGATAACCATTCATATTCTCCTGTTGTGATCACTATTCACAGCTGTGTTAAAGTTAAAAAAAAAAAAAATTGAAATGACCTAAATATCTAACAGTATGAGAATTGCGAAGTAAATCAATAAATTAATACAATGTAGCAGTTGAGATTTTAAATGATGCATATGAAAATATTTTATTACCTGGTGGACATGCTTCTGTTAAAATATTAAGTGAAAAAAGTGTGCACAGATTATATTCCCAGATGTGTCCAGATAGAAAGGACCTTCTGGAAACCCTAAAAGACCTTCTGGACGCGTTTGGGAATATAATCTATACCCACTGTTTTCATTTACTGTTTAAACATAAGCATATATATATATGGAGCCCTGGTGGCACAGTGGTTCAGAGCTACAATGTGCCACAGCTGCTAACCTAAAGGTACCAAAAAAAAAACCCCAAACCCATTGCCGTCGAGTCGATAGGCATTTCCAATCCACCAGCCGCTCCTTGGAAACCCTATGGAGCAGTTCTCCTCTGTCCTATAGGGTCACTATGAGTTGGAATCAACTTGGCAACAGGTTTTATATATATATATATACACACACACACACACACACACATCTGTATATATGTGTATACACACACACGTATATGTGTGCATATACGTATATATACACCAAAGAGTTTGTGTGTGAGTTGTATTTTCTCTGAATTTTTTAATCCTTTCTGACTTCCTATGATTATCTGTAAAGTTCTTCATCAGTATTTATTAAGAAAAACTTTTGCTGTTGCCCACCTGAAAATCCACGGAGGGGGCCCATTTTAATGCTTCATCCCCCAAAGAATGAGACGTCAACTTAAAAAGTACAAGGCAGAGTTATATTAGAAGCTCCAGGCAAAACACTTCTAAACATTGGCTCCTGGATGTCCTCTCATAGTCGCGACAGTTCATCGTCAGCCTGAGTTCCAGGCCCAGGGAAATTAAGCAGACCCTAGGGTTTAGAGGTAAGGAGCTCTGGTGGTGCAGCAGTTAAGTGCTTGGCTGCTAACCAAAAGGTCTGCGGTTTGAACCCACCCAGCACCTCCGTGACCTGGTGATCTGCTCTTGTAAGGATTACAGCTTAAGAAACCCTACCGGGCAGTTCTACTCTGTCCTGTAGTGTTGCTATGAGTCGGAATCGGTTCAGTGGCACCTAAGAACAGCAGGGTAGGGGTCTGCAAACTTTCTGGAAAGGGTCTTGTTATAAATACTTTCAGCTTCGTGGACCATACAGCCTCTGTTGAAACCACTCAGCTCAGCTCTGCTGTTGTAACACCAACGTAGCCATAGATAATCTGGAAACAAATGAGCATGCCTCTGTGCCAATAAAACTTTATTTACAAAAACAGTCAGGGGGCAAGATTTGACCCACAGGCAGGAGTTTGCCAACCCTTGCCCTAGAAGGAGTTAGCGAGGGGAAAGGAAGAGGTAAAATTGAAAACACACCCCCTCTGCACTTAGGCTGAGTGTTCTTGGCGGAGTAAAGTCACAGCCCTGGAAGTCCCAGGTGGCCTGTGAGGATGCATGGCTGGGGCCTGTAGTGGCATGGGGCATGAGAAAAAAACAAAACATAGCATGCATCCTCAGAGAAGAGCCCACACCAGCGTGTCTCTGTCAGGTGGATGCTGTGTGGCACACCTGGTGGTCAGGGCTGGCCCCATGCCTGAGCCCTGTCCCAGCACCTGCCTGGGAGTAAAGGCTGGGCTTGCAGGAGGGCCTCTGGATCAGGCCCTCTAAGTTTGATCCACACAGGTCCCAAGCACCCCAACCCTGAATGATCCTTTCACCCAGAAGGGTTGCTGGTTGGCACAGGGATGCCTTATCAAGCGGCCCCCAGGACCAAACCCATTGCTGTTGAGTCAACTCTGACTCATGACAACCCCATGTGTGTCAGAGTAGAACTGTGCTCCATAGGGCGTCAATGGCTGATTTGGGGGAAGTAGATTGCCAGGCCTTTCTTCTGAGGCACTTCTGGGTGGACTCGAACTGCCAACCTTTCCATTACAGCTGAATGGATTAACTGTTTGTACCATCCAGGGACTCCTAATCAGTTGCCATCAATTCGACCCTGACTCATGGGGACCCCATGTGTTTCAGAGTACAGCTGGGCTCCATAGAGTTTTCAGTGGCTGATTTTGGGGAAGTAAATCACCAGGCCTTTCTTCCGAGGCACTTCTGGGTGGACTTGAGCCACCAACCTTCTGATTAGCAGCTGAGCACGTTGACCATTTACTCCACCCAGAGTCCAGGAATTAAACCTCATGAAATGCACCAAGTGAGAGAAAAAGCTAGGGACGTCACTACAAAATGATGGAACGTTCAACAGGTGGCATCTTCAGGAGAAGTCCTTCTTGACCTGATTTTGGAATGGGACAGTCCCTTTGCTTTCTTTGCAAAAGCAGTTTTCAGCACTGATAGAATTGTCATTTCTGCCTTGACTGTTGCCCATACACATGGCCGCCATCTGATGTGAGCACTCATTGTCTGTGGCTGGCAGCCGAAGGGGTGGGGCCACTTGATGGGTCCCCAGCCCCATGTCTACCTGCTAACATATCCCTCTCTCCCACAGCACCAGCCTGATGCGGATGTGCTGGCAGTTCAACCCCAAGATGCGGCCGACCTTCCTGGAGATCGTTGACCTGCTCAAGGATGACCTGCACCCCAGCTTTCCAGAAGTTTCCTTCTTCCACAGTGAGGAGAACAAGGCTCCCGAGAGTGAGGAGCTGGAGATGGAGTTTGAGGACATGGAGAACATCCCCCTGGATCGGTCCTCACACTCTCAGAGGGACGAGGCTGGGGGCCGGGACGGCGGGTCCTCGCTGAGCCTAAAGAGGAACTATGAAGAACACATCCCCTACACCCACATGAACGGGGGCAAGAAGAACGGGCGGATTCTGACCCTGCCGAGGTCGAATCCTTCCTAACGGTGCCTGTTGGGGAGGGGTCCCTGTCTCCGCTTGCCTCTGGTGTGAAGGCCTTCAGAAATCTCAGGATTCTAACGACTGGTACAGTGTCAACCCAAACTCAGAGATAACGACTATACATTTGTGGTCATCTTAAGACTTAAAACACATTTGTTGGATTGCCAATTTGACTCGTCGTCAACAGATTTAACTGTGAACACAGTGGGGAAGGGGTTTTCTTGGCTGCTGGACTTCTGGCAACCGTGGCTTCAAGCCAAGATATTATTATTTTCTTTTTTCTAGTAGATGGAAAGAAAGCACCCGTTTTTACAAAGATTTTTTTTTTTTCCTTCTTGCTGGTGTCTGAGCTACGGTATAAAACCTAAAACTTGTCTGTGGAACAGAAGTTTGAAAGGAAAAAGTCTGTTCCAACAGAATTCCAAGCCTGAGAGCTTCGGGAAGGTTTTTTTTTTTTCCATTCAAGCCGAAGGAATTTTTTTTTTTTTTTTTTTAATTCTCACAAAATCAGTTCCTCAAGTTGACCAATAGCTGCTGCTTTCAGAAGATAAGAGTCTGCAGTCTGGTGTGTGCTCACGTGTGTGCACGCGTGTGTGTGCGTGTGTCCCGGTTAGACACAGGTGGTGTGTGTGTGCGTGTGTAGAGTACTCATGCTGGGCTGACGCTTTGGGGTTGGCTTCCGAAGGTTCTGCTCTTCCCGAGTGTGTGAGCGCGTTTTTCTCCTTCTTTTCTTCCTTCTTCTTTTCTGTCGACTGGGAGATTGTGCCCGCGACAGAATCTGCTTGTGTCCTAACTCGAGCCTCAGGACTCCTCTCCCTTAACTTTGGTGAAAAAACGTTTCCCGGGAGCTGAGGGAGTAACATTTAGTTTGAAGTGATGGATCTTTTCAAGACCAAACAAAGCCAGGACAAAAAGGACAAAAAAAAAAAAAAAAAAAAAAAAAAAAAAAAAGGAACTGAGGTGACAGAATGTTTCGAGAATATATTTGTAACATATTTAATTTTTACACGTGTCCAGCGTTAACCTCATGAGTTACCGACTCTTTCCCGGAAGCGTCGCGGAGCGAGTGGCCTCTTTGTTTGGTCTTAAAGGCGTCCATTTTCTGGGAATAAAGCCACATTAGCTGCTAACCCTTTTGGACGTTGTAGGCCATGTTGAGGGTGTGGGCAACTGTGTCTTATAGGTGGTTTGGTTGTAACAGCACCGTCTGCTGGAAAGTTCCAGAGCCGAGCCCTGCCTTTGCTGGCACCTGTGGCTCTGCAGTCCTTTGGTTCCCTGCAGGTAGCACAGGCGCTTCCTTCCCCAGGTGTGCATTTTCTGCAGTTAACTGTGCGAACGCGGCAGCGTCCGATCCCAAAGAACAACCTGCAAAGGTGAAATTTTGAGAACACTAAACAGTATAAAGCAAGACATGCTGAAAACACCTGTTGGGCCCCGCAACCCGTGGAGCATCCGACTGTCCTCAGGACTGACCTTCTAGAAGCTGCTCTGCCCCCAGCGACCTCAGATGTGCCAGGTGTGGGCAGGGCAGAACTCTCAGGTGCCTACGGCGTTGGAATCCCAAGGAGAGTGGAGTCTGGAGGCGAAGCCAGCAAAGGACCTTCACACCACCGAGGAATCGCGGATGGACGTGAATCCATAGTTTTTCTTCTCTTTGAGAAAAGAACCACAGCTGCTCAAATAAAGGACACAGTGAACTCTTTTCTTTGGTTCCTCAAAACCATCACCTACAGGTTATTCCTGAGTGCATTTGCTCATGAGTCTTTGACTGCTTTCTTCTTCTCTTCTTCTCCTAAGAATTGTAGGACTAAGAATGGAATAGAGGCGTAATCTCAGCCTCCGAGCCTTCTTGGTTCTTAGTTAAGAACACAGGTAGACACAAATCCCAATGGTCCATTGCTATCTTATTTATATGATCTGAGAAATTAACAGCATGTAAAATATTGCCAGCAAGCCTCAGTGATTGGATACAACAAGCAAGAGTACAAAATTTATCTTCGCCAAATTCATTTTGTACATAGAAGAGGGTCTGTCGATAAATTATAAAACACGTAGATCTAGTTATGTTGTTCTTTTCATAGTGAATTTGTAGTGGCCGTATACTACATTAGCAGCAATTTCCACGTTTTTCTAATTCAGAAAGGTTTTCTTACATTTAGGGGAAAAATTATTTATTTTAATATATAAAATCACTGTAAAAATCACTTTCGTAAAAAATGGAGCGCATGTAAATTTTTATCAAAGAAAAATAAACAGGTGGATGTGGGGTAATGATTTTTTTTTTCAGCACAGTCTACCTCAGTGTATTGTTAGGATGTAGTTCAATAATGGACATCTCCAGACTTCAGAATTCTGCCTAGATCCTGTCTGAATCAGGGGAAATCCAGATCAGCTGATTCCAAACACCAGGGACCAGGAAGAATTGTGAGGGAGGGAGTCGGGATAGAGAAGGTGTAACCTCTGTGTGAGCACAGATCTTTTTCTCCTGGTTGACAATATTCTTTCTGAATTCAGTCTGCCTGCCTGTTTTTCCTTTTTTGTGGGGGAGTGGGTTGGGGGTCCTCCATCAACACTGTGCTTCCCAACGTGAACCAAGTTTCAGGCCGCCATGACATATTGGGTGTGTGGGGTACCCCAACCTGGTCTGCCCTCTTTTGGTGAGAAGTGGGTGCTGCATCTCCTGCTCAAGCAAAGACAGCTTTGATTCAGAGCCAGTGTCCCCCGCACCCCATCCCATCATCCATCCGCCTTCAGTGAGCATCCAGGTGTCCTGGGTCTCCAATGGATTTTTCCTACTCCTTTTAGGCTGAGGATGCTCTTTGGGAGCAGAACAAATCATACTCATGGGTACCTCACACACAACATCCCAGACTATGCCCCTTTTTATTTTCCGAGTAGGAAGGGGGTGTTATGAGAAATCCCAATCCAAAACCCACCAGCACGCAGAATACATTTTGCATCAATGAAACGTGAGGCCCCTGAGTTGGGGTTTGGTTGACTTCCAGCTGACACTGTTTTCCTCCTTTGTGGCTTTGCGAACCCACATGTAAGTCAGGCAGGGCCATGATCGACCTCACTAAACCTCACTGGTCGTCTCACACTTTCGGGCAACTGCCCTGCAGACTCGTCCTTCTCCACCTGCCCTGGAAAAGGGGAGCGTGTAGGGCCCGCCCTGTGTAACGGGATCTCACCAACTACATTTAGCTGTTTCTGCTGCCAGAGTGAAAAGAGCAAGCAGCTGTTGGGTCAAAAGCCTCCTTTTGCATCAGAAAATGTTGACTTTGTAACAATAGAACTTTGGTTCTTTAAAGTTATGTTTGTTCTGGGGGTTTGGAATGATGGGTTTAGAAAAGCAACAGAGCTGTGCTTAGGTTGAAGCTTTGCATTTGTTTTTAAAGATGATTCACTACTATTAAAACCCATTTCATTAATTTGGTGAAAGCCATGTAGTAGTTTCTTCTTCCTGGAGGAGAATACTAAACACATCACTTTCACCCTGGATCAGTGATGACAAGCACAGATCCAAAAATGTTTGCATTCTCGGTGCTGTGCTGGGTGTGTTGTTTTAAGCTAGTAGAAAGGGGGAGTGCTGCTGGTTCTCTGGAAATTGAACACAACTGAGAGAAAATGTGGGGATTGATGCAAAGGTCTACACATTCGATCCTGTCACCACTGGGGACTGTGCCACTAACTGATGGACAGATCTTCCACCATCTACAACCTGGGGGACAGTCTGCTTTGAAAGGTACTTGTTGAGTATTAGATGTTTGCTCATAGCCAGCTGTACCACTGGTCTGGGCAGGAGTGCTGTCGGTGTGACCCACGCTGGCCTTCTGGGTAACTGATTGGATGTGCTGTGGTCTCAATGACCATCATTTTTCTACTTCACAGTGGGTGGAAGCTTGGGGTTAAATGCCTTGTGGATGCCACCTAGTGAGTCCTTGACACCTCAGACTCTTTAGTAATGATGGTTTTGTTGGGAGTAGGGATGAGGAATGCTGATTTTATACAAATTACATGTGGAGTGGTGTCACTGCAGAAAGCCAGAATGATCTTCAGAATATCGATTTACAGCAGAGGAGATGCTGGGAGTGGAAGAACAGATCAGCGTTTGAACTGAAAGAATGTGATGGACTTTCAGGGGCTGTGACTGCAGGTGAACGTTTCCTTAGGAGTTCCCCGGAAACAATGATTTCTTTTTAGCTCAATGTCACTTCCTCATACCAGCCAAGGCCTCGAACCAGGCTCCAGTCAAATTTTTATTTGGGTGTTGGCAATAAAAATTCATGTTAAAAAGCAGATGGATAATGAATGTGGGACTCTAGGTCCCACATCAGGAGGAAGGAATCGCCCCCAAATGAGTGCGCGTCCACACAGACATTCAGGCACGGCTTGTTCAGTCTTTATACTTAGTGTCAAAGTTGCTGCTCCTTGCTCCTTTGTGTGCCTGGGTGGCCTTGGCCCTGTGTATCAGCAGACACCTCCTGTCCTCGGTCAGCAGCGCAGGATCAGATGCACCATGACTTAAGCAGAAGACAACTCAGAAACACACATAACACACAAAAAGCTCAGTTATTATTTGTTCAATGTTTTCCTACAAGAGCCAAGTAGTGTCGTGTACAGAAAATGCCTTTTTGGAATATTGATATCATTCTGCATGTAAAATATTGGATAAATAATTACCTGTTTATATTAAAATTCTGAATAAATTATCTGAGAATACACTTGTTTTTGAGTAGTGTCCATGCTAGGACCTGTGGCCCATGTGGGGTTGTGGCTGTGGGGTGGGTTAAAGGAAACCTCCCAGGAAGTTGTGGGTTCCTATTCTGAGAGGGAACAAACCCTTACGTTCTTCAGCACACAAAGCTGGAGGTCAAATATTGGTACTATCAGAGTGCATCCAAACCAAGGGTGTAAATATTGAACTATTTCCAGTTGGCAAGTAACTTCCCCAAGAGCTCAGGACCTCCAGGATCTTGCCCCATTCCAACATACCGGAGACTTACTTATTATTAAATATTTTTAATATCATCCTGAGATGGAGGATCTGCCCTCAGGGTGGGTGGATGAGTGTATGTGAGGGCATCCTTTGGCCAGGGAGGGACCTTGGATTGAAAGGGGATTTTGAACAGCTATCCTTTGGGCTGAATACATAGTGTGGTGGATTAGGAGACAGGCTCCTTCCCTTCGGCTCCCTGTGTGACTTTGAAAGAGTCAAGTAACTTCATGTCCAGGCAGGCCCTGGGTTACGAACGTCCGACTTACGTACAACCTATAGGTACGAACCAACCCTTGTAAAGCCTATTAAAAAATCGAGGCACAGGAGGTGGAGCCAACATGGCATTATAGACAGAAGCACCATGCTGTTCCTCTGCAGCAAAGACACCAAAAACTAAAAACAGATACAAACATCAATCCTGGAACCCTAAGCATAAAATGAGGGATAAAGAACTAGATTAAGCACTGAATGGAAGAAGAAACTGAC